TATCGATGTTGTGACCATATTTTAGGGTTGTATAAGACAATGTATTAACACAATGATAGTTTTGATAGAAAATCATTGGTTATAGAATAATTAAGCGGGTAAAGGTTAACAAAAGAACAGCTACTTGTACTGAATTTCTGTTTTAATGTAATGTTTGGATGCACCACACGCCTGTGCGTAGGTGTTCGGATCAGCAGGTTCAAACCCCACTGCAGTCAGCATGTCCTTGTGTCCCTGAGACACTTCACCCCAAATTGCTCCTGTGGGGATTGCCCACAGTATTGTGTATGTAAGTCGCTTTGGATAAAAGCGTGTAACAAGTAACATGTAATGAAATATCTAAATGATATCAAAGGAACAGGTAGAATAGTCTGGTAAATTCAGAAAATTACATAATTTGATTGTAAAACTGCTTTTTATGGAAGATGTTGAGGACCACTTTTGATTAAAGTCTGAATTCTGAGATAAAAACTGAAAATTCTGACTTTTTTCGTAGAATTATTAAGAAAACAAATCTGAATTTTGACCAACATTATTTAAATTAACAAATTCACATGTGGCCCTTATCCCCTTCCTGAGCCTTTAAAATCAGGGCAAGGCAACAATATCATGATATTCAAAATCCACAATGTTATCTAATCTAATTTTAAGATATTGGTATAAGAAGAATATATCGCCCAGCGTACCACAAACACACATTTACTTCATTCTAGCTATTTTTATCTTTGTGGGTCAGCCTCTCTTTCTGTTCCTACCTCTTCGTCCTCCCCTGACATTCCCTCTCCTCACGGTGGATCTGCCAGCACTCCTGCAGCACTTAACTCCCAACGAGCTCTGCTTCACCTTCCCCTCACTATACTGCTAACACCTCGGAACACTTCTGTGTTTCAGCCCCTCCTCTCTGGAGACTCTCACACAACTTTCCTCGTGTGTCAGTAAGTGTAGACAACGCCTTCGCTGTCTTTGTGTTTGCAAGCCATCACCTGAAGTAGCCTGGAGCCAGAGAGAGGCTTTTACTCCACTATCGATCCACATCCGTCACTCAGTCTCTCGTGGAAACTGTCAACAAACTATAATGAATGAGCTCGACATAAAGTGTGGGGAAATAAGCTAATGCATGCACGCAGACTGCAGACTGAAATGCAGACAGTAAAGAAGATACTTTTAAAAAATGACCCAGAGACGTGGAACAAAAACAGAAGCTGACATCCATTAACCATGAGGAGAAATCCCAAATGCTTTCATCCTATGCTTCTCCTGGATAATAGCTCAAATCTTCCTCTACAGTATGTGTGATGAATAAATGATGACAGCAGCTTTTCTCCAGCAGAACAACCAATCACTTACTTTAAAGGGGACCTATCATGCAAAATGCACTTTAGTACGTCTTTTATACATGAATATGTGTCCCCGGTGTTCCAGGGAACTCACCAAGTGTCAGAAAACACAACCCTCTCTATTTTCCTCCATACCCAAATCTCTAAAAAAGGGGCTGCAACGGATCTGATAAAAACTGATCCAGATTTGAACACTGTCCTGACGTCAGGACGGTGGCGCTACGGCTATTGGGCCAACTCCACCAATCAGGAGGAGACAGCCACGGCCATTGCCGTTCGAAAGCGCTGGAGACGCTGTAGTACATATGCCAGGCCTGTAGATGGTGCTGTTCTCACTGAATCAGCCCTTGCTAAAACAGAGCAAAAAAATGTCAAATTGAGCAAAATGAGGCATGGCTAAAATGCATGATCTGTTTGGTATTTTGAAGAAAAAAAAAGTATAAATATATGCCTTATATAGGTATGGTCCTACACTATATTATTCAAATATAGCATGATAGGTCCACTTTAAGAGAAAAACCCACCTAGCTCCAACATGTCATTATTTTATCCTGTTAAGACATGTGTAAAACTTCTTAAGTCTTCTTAATGCCCCAAAATGTGTGTTGTTCAGGTGGATATTTGGACATTTCCTCAATGTGTTTCTGAGATATATCGTCTTCTCAAGAATGTGAGGTCAGGCCATTTGACCCTTGAATCTTATCAGTCCATATTTTGGCCAAATACAAATAAAAATGGCCTTCCTGAGATATTGTGTGTACAAGAAGACGATAATAGTTTGTTATGAAAACATAATCCTGGTGCGAATACATTAAAACAGGAGACAGTGTGAACTCTGGAAGGTAGGCATGAATTCAAATACCTTCACTCATCCACTTCTACCATCGTAGCGTCTTTCAACTCAGAGTTTCATTAAAGGAGAAGATTACAGGGCAGGAGATGAGAGTGGGTTTGATAGTCAGACATTAATAAGAACTTACACAGCAGCCACAAAGGCAGTCAAGCACACATTATTATCTAGTGGAGGCGGAGAGAGGGAGGGATGGAGAAGCAAGTTTGTATTTCAGTTCATGGAAACTAGACAAGATGGGAGTGAAAAGCCCACTTGTCTCAGTAACCTTTTTACACTTCTTATTTTCATGGCATTTAAAGCAACAGAAGACGAGGGATTAGGGAGACGAAATACAAGCTTTCAGTATCCGAAGCTTCAAGTTTGAGTTCAAATGAGAGGACAGTATCCTAAAAAAAACCTGATGTACTGCTATTAAAGTCTTGGCAAACAAACACCAGCTCTGTGGCTCTGATTCCTCTGTAATCCTAAATGTGTGACAGAGCATGATTCATGCAAGTGTAATCCTATAGGCTCGTCCAGACAAGCACCACGACACTTCTGATGTGGGTGGAGCAGGAATTACTCCAAAAACCCTGAAGTTAGTTAGTATTTTACCACATGCAGTTCCCTTGTCTTAAAGTCAACTGTTTTGAAAATGTGTTTTTGGTTAGAAGGCTGAAATAAACTGAGGTTAAAGGTTTAAGATTATATTGTTTTGATCTATGACATAAAATCTGTCAGTAATTACCCATGGTGAATGCCTGAAGCTTTTATTTGTATTTAAAGGTCACCTATCAAGCTATTTTTAGGCAATAGCATAGGTCTCAGATATATACAAATATATAAAAAACATGTCTATAAAGTGATCACCCATTCTAGCCATTTCAAAAGTGCTGATTTGGGGTATAAAGCTTTAAAAAAAATACAAATAAAAAGGAGGGGGCTGAGCTCATGCGGGACCCGGCAGCTACTGTCTAAACTAAATACTGCCGTGATGAAACGCCATATCATGGATTATCAAGGATTCTTTCTGAAACAGTATGGAGCTCAAAGGCTTTCTCTCTTGCCGGTTATACCACAAGGTGAGTTCCTTTTTATTTCCTGCTTCTTCACACACATGCTCTCCAGTACAGGTTAGCTCTGAGTGTTAGCGATGCTAATGTAAACACCGACCATATTACGTCCAAAACAGTCGGGCATTGTTTCTGATAGCAACGTTTCTGATAGGGCCGTGGGTCCACATTTCAGATATTACGTCATATCGGACGCAAATCTGGATCAGCTCCGTTGTAGCCCCGTTTTTAGAGATTTGGGTACGGAGGAAAAGAGAGAGGGTTTTATTTTCTGACGCTGCGTGAGTTCCCCGACACACCGGGGACACATGTTTATGTATAAAAGACATCAAAAAGTGCATTTTGCATGATAGGTCCCCTTTAAAACGGCGGTTGCCAACAAGTGACTTAATGGGAAACGTCAACATGCAGAACATTAGCTGCCTTTAGCTTAGCGGTGTTGTCGTGATGTAGTTATTTTATAGCCTAACGTTAGCTTTTTACTTCTGGCAATTGCATTTACGCTTCAAAACTCATAAAAAGGTCTTAATATGTGGATATCATCCTGCCGAACAAAACCTAAAAGGTATCATAAACGTGTGTTTTCCACAGATCTTCAATACTCTAAAATCCTTTTTGTAGAAGGAGCCCTTTTTTAACTTCGAGGTTGTCTAACAAAATATGTCATCACTGCATCCCTCTATTTGGGGTTTCAGGAATCCAGAATAAAGTGAGTCTATCTTACATATTTGACATCTGAACACACATTTCCATTTGTACCGCACGCCTCATCACCCTCTGTTTTTCCAATCACGCCTGTGAGGCTTGCAAATCACTTTCAGTGCAGGAGGGTCTGTCTCCACTCACTGAGCGGTGCTTCCTCTCATTCACTGAGGCTCACACACTCTACACAATACCTGAACAATGACTTCATGTGAGGAAAGACACAATCATGAACACCTAGGCATTCCCCAGCAGATTGTTGACCCAGTCTCTTCCGCAGTGAGGCCGCGGCTGCTGGATATTTATAGGAAGCCTTTAGGGGATTCAGCTTTGTTTCAGAATGAATGGGGGTCCCTTCAATGGGAGAGCAATGAAAGGACATGCATGTATGAACAAACAGAAGAACTGAGACATTTGTCTATTGAACTTAATGAAGTGTAATGTCATTTTGTAGAAGTTAGCAACACAAAGGATCCCTCGACAAATAGTTAATTGAGATTTTTCTATCGGATTTAAAATATTGCAATAAATAAGATCAGAGGAAAACACATGTTTATGATATTTACATATTTAGATCGGCAGGATAATTTCCACAGCTAACACAACTTTATAATAAGTGAAATGCAATCGCCAGAAGTACAAAGTTAACAGCTATCAAGGAACCACGGCACGGTCACATGGCTTATACCTCTGCTTTTACCACTCTTATTTATTTGTGTCCATTTTTTTACCGCAGTGAGAGTTGCCAAAGAAATGTCGTTGTACTTTATTATATTCTATTCTTCATGTCACCAATGCTAAGCTAAAGGCGGCTAATGTCCAGCATGATGACGTTTAGCAGGCTCATTAAGTCATTAGTTAGCAACCACCGTTTCAAAGACAAAATATGTTTATCAGGAATAGTAGCTGGCGTATTTGATTTTAAAATAAAATACTTTATTGCAGGCATCCAACCAAAACCTCATGAAACGGTGTGGGCTAAAATGCTAACTTGTTTCCGGGTTTAAGGCTCATTCCTGCACCACTCTATAGCTGAATCAGTGGAGTTGAACTTACAGAACTGGAGGCTCAGACTGATGATGGCCAGCGCGGCCCCCCCCCACCATCACCAGCAGCAGGAAGCGGTTACGAGCCAGCATCTTCTCATGTGATTGGTCCTCCTTCCTGTCCGTCAGCCATCCAGATCACCACCCATCCCTGCAGTCTGGACACAAAGTGAGAATGAGTTTATGAAAAAAATGTATCTATGGTGCGGTAACAACTTTATAAACTGCTTGTTGTTCTCAATTGTTATACTGTTGGAGATTATAATCTTTAGGGGAGTTTTCTTGGCTTGATTAAAGGGGACCTATCATGCAAAATGCACTTTTGTACGTCTTTTCTACATGAATATGTGTCCCCGGTGTTCCAGGGAACTCACCAAGTGTCAGAAAACACAACCCTCTCTATTTTCCTCCATACCCAAATCTCTAAAAAAGGGGCTGCAACGGATCTGATAAAAACTGATCCAGATTTGAACACTGTCCTGACGTCAGGACGGTGGCGCTACGGCTATTGGGCCAACTCCACCAATCAGGAGGAGACAGCCACGGCCATTGCCGTTCGAAAGCGCTGGAGACGCTGTAGTACATATGCCAGGCCAGTAGGTGGTGCTGTTCTCACTGAATCTGCCCTTGCACAAACAGAGCTAAAAAATGTCAAATTGAGCAAAATGAGGCATGGCTAAAATGCATGATCTGTTTGGTATTTTGAAGAAAAAAAAGTATAATATGCCTTATATAGGTATGGTCCTACACTATATTATTCAAATATAGCATGATAGGTCCACTTTAAGTTAGCAATACTCGGGCTATCATGAACAGCTGTCATTTGTCCCCTACTTTTAAAAAAAGGAAATGATTAAATTAAAACATTTTCTTACTGCCAATCATAAAAATACTCATGGTGGTGGTTTTAAATTCAGACTAGTTCCCCTTTCAGACAAAAGTAGGACATCTGTGTGTAATTGGCCAGTAGTTGTATGATTTAGGTTTATGGACGTTTGTTCAGAGATGAGAGTATCACTAGGAAAAATGGTAAAACAATAAGTGTAGCATTCACAGTTTGCTCCTATTTTAAAGAGGCGTGAGAGAAAATAGACCAAGTGTTGACCCTGGTCTTTATTACTCAAAATCTTTGAACTAAAGCAGTTGGCATTTTCCCTTGTGTCATGAACCGGGTGGAAAATTGGAAAGAAGCAGCCGTATGTAATTATTACAACGATGTTGCAATTCTGTATATTCACCTCTTTCATGACAGTGGTATCTGTGCTAAGGTCAGTGTAAAACGGCAAATCAAAACATTTTCTGTTTGACCAACTACTGGAAGAAAATCTGTCAATCACTAGTATGCAGTTATTCTTATTTGTGTTTAAGTACTTGTGTTCTTACTGAAATGATAAAGACTCTAGCCTGTGTTGATGATATTTTGGACGAAGTTGTATGGGCTACACGTTGTAGTATAGTGGACAGATGAAAGGAGTTCTTACTGTAGGTAAATCAAGTTTCCAGTGTCACACACATACCGAGACATCCTTCATAATTTCCCACCAAACCCAGCAGTTTTGCACATCCATGAATAGTCCGAGAAAGAGCAGAGGGTTGGAAACCAGGCGGAGACATGGGGGAGGAAGGAACTTAAACTACACTAAATGTAGCCCTGCACAATAAACCCTACCATTAGGGTGTCTCAAAATACTCTCAGACAGGAGTGTTTAAGCCTACATCTAACCAAGGTACAATGAAATGAGGCCTCAGGGAGAATTGGAGCAACAAACATGCACCGTGTGACCTTTGCAACTGTCTGCACCCACTATCCTGTATTTCAGGATGTGTCACACCAAACTCCAGTCAGTTTGATGCTGAGTTTCTTATCAATTCAGTATAAAAACGTCATAGATCACACATTTATAGCATACATTTTTCAAGAACTGTAGCCACTGGTTGGTTTGCCATACAAAACCCAACAAAGCTCACTTATTGAATTTAAATATTGCTTACATCCACATTTTAGATTATAGCCTGCAACATGCAGCTTAAAAACTCCAGGGTGTACTTTGGTACAGTTTGAGATCTACTTAATTAGCACGTGCTGTGGAATATTGGGGTGGTTTAACCTTTAACATTTAATTAAGTTCACAATCACATGCATTTACACATTTAGGATTAGGCTCAAGTTAGGCTAAATTGTGAAGAGGGATACAACGACCTCTTGCCTTGATATATCTGAATGAAAATGATCAACCACAAACTAAAGACATGTGGCATTCAGAGGAGGTATGGCTTGCCTATAGGATAGAGTTGTGCAGTGACGCGTCCTAAAACCCGGAAGTCAGCTGCGCATGGGTTCCCTTGACAAAAAGCGGGGATTGGATATGGGATTTCTCCATAGGATTTTGGAAAATAGCTCGAAATAAGGTCTGTGGAAAACGAACCTGTTTGATAAATGCACGTTTTGTTCAGCCGGAAAATATCCACATGTCTACCCTGACTAAAACACAATGTGTATATAACAGATGTATGACTATAAAACATGACAGTGCTGGTGTAACATTAATCTTCCCAGCTGTCAGACTGTACATCACCTCTATGTGACATAACATATACTGACTTGACAAAGGATTATCTCCAAATTCCTCACAAATGTGCAGATTACTGCTCAGTTGCTCATACACAGGCTACATACACTGTACTATAGGCCGGTCCCCTGAGGATTTACATTAAATGCAACTTAACGCTGTAATTGTTCTGCTAACTCAAGTGTATAGTGTATTCATTTTTCATTTTGAGAGGTTGATAGGCTGGACAAGCACTGCCTTCTATTCTGTTATTGTATATGTATATTGTGTATTCATCACATATACTCTATAGATATGTATCCTTCATTATTGATACGTATATATTCACTGTTTTGCGTATGCTGTTTATCTTCGACTGCTCATGTGTATGTCTTTATTGTTTTTTTCTTGTATTTTATTCTACTCATTCATGTCTTATCTGTTCTGCTGTGATGGAAACAAATCCCAAATTGGGATCAATAAAGTATATTATCTTATCTCTTATTGGAAAAACACAGTATAAATAATAATAATCATCATAATAATAATAATAATAATACACTTTATTTGTATAGCACCTTTCAAAACAGAGAGCTTTAACATACAAATACACAGACAGCAGGTGAGTTAAACAATAGCATCTAAACGTGAGAATACATAGTAAAACACATAGAAAATAATAATACAAAAATACATAGAATAAGAACAAAATAAGACTAAAAAAAGAACATTTAATTTCCTTAATTCGTTACTTCAGAAATGGTTTCCCCAGTACTACATCTATTGGTCGTACTCTTGTAATATTACAACGTTAGTACAATATATTACACAGTAACTACGTAATGCTGCATTACAGTAAAAAGAACGTGTTTACGATCTGCTAGGTAACGTCAGTTAACGTCAGTTGGCTAACGGTTAGCTAGCTAGTTACATTCACTAACTAATGCAGTAGGTTAGCTCCAGCTGACTGGTGAATAAAGAACATTATACATGGAGATATCGCGAGTGTCCTGCTGGTTATTAACACTTCTCCTAACTTTATTTCTGGCTACTTGTTGCATCATGCCTGTGTGTTGAAGTGGAGTATTCTCACCGTGATGGTGATGTGTAGCTTTGTGGTGCCGCGACAGAGGAACCGATATTTAAATGCCATTCAACAATGCAGCAAAAGACAAACAGACAACGAATGCAAATGCGTCATAGAGGGAAAGATAAAAAAGCACTTGTTAAATTGTCCCTACCTGCAGGAACCGAGTGCCTCAGACAACCGGGGGAAACAGTTGAATCCAGCGCTTCGGTTTCTCCGGTGAGAGACTGACTGACTGCAGCGCAGAGAAGACCGGGGTCAAGATACACGGAATGTGTAGTGGTAATTCCGGTGATGTCTTTCAAAATGAAAGCATATAGCCACGAGGCGAATATGCTGCCACGTTTTGCATAATTTTCAATGCAGTCAGAGTGTAATCAACAATTGAACACAGCAAGTTGAAGGTGACTCTCATGTGGGAGAACTATCAAAGCATAAAGTGTTATTGGAAATAGACACAGTACGATAAGGTATTTTTGTGTGGGTAACAAATGAACAATAGATGTGACAAAATGTGCTTTTATTTTGTAATCAAAACGTATGGAGTTCCGCTGTAGAGAAGATAAGTCTGGTTCATGGACAGCCATCAAAATCCCAAACACACTGCTCCATCTGCTGGACCAGAGACAGCAATGCACGTGGTGCCTTCAAGGACTCCTCTCTAGGAAATACATGATATGGTTTATTCAAATATGTTTCATTGCATAATAAATTAAACACTAAAACAGTAATATGTGGAGGGATATGGCTCCATTTGACAAATAAACATATTAGTCAGGATTCTCCAATTAAAAAGTGCAAATCATGCCGTACTGACATTTATTGTTTATTATTGACATTTTTGTTTTAGCTGATTGGTTTATGTATGTATTCAAATATAAAATTATGTATTTATTTATTTTAGTATATATATATATTTGTGTATGTCTGTTTGTCTGTTTTTGTATGTCTGTTTGTCTTCTGTCTGTGTGGGATTTTGTTTGTGGTGTTCAGCAGTATTTACATTGTTACTCTTTATTTTTCTATAAAGTGAAGATTTGTTTACCTACTTTTGATGCATGCTCTGATAGAATAACTGTGAAGGTTTCTCATTTCTCTAATTCCCCTCCTCGACTCCCCTCCTCGACTCCTATCCTCGTGTCTTAGTCCTGCCCACAGGAGATGCGAGCGGAGGAGTCGAGGAGGGGAACCGAGGAGAGAGGAGGGGAAGCAGCAGGCATTTGGAGAAATTAGAAACCCTCTAACTGTATGCTGTTGAACAAACCCAAGAAACAAAGTTTAAAAAATCAAATTGCAAATCAATATGTCAAAAAGGAATATATTCAACACACTGGATAACAATGGATATACGTATTTGTAATGCACATATCAGAAAATATTTATAATTATGTATTATATGTATTGTGTTTATATGTAAAAGTACAACGTACATAGTTTTACTTTATTCATTTGTTTTCTTATTGCACATTTGTAATTGTACTTCTTGTGTTTGTATAAATATATATATTTGTAATATATATTTTGGTATTGTTATATTATATTTTATCTCATTGCATTGATGCGTGTGGCGCAGTGGCTTAGTGTGTTGGTGTTCGGATCAGGGGAGCACAGGTTCAAACCCGACTGCAGTCAGCATGTCGTTGTGTCCCTGAGACACTTCACCCCAAATTGCTCCTGTGGGGATTGCCCACAGTATTGAGTATGTAAGTCGCTTTGGATAAAAGTGTCTAACAAGTGACATGTACAAAAAAAATGTAATGTAATTAGGCAAGGGTGCTTCTAACTCTGATGCGTTATGAGTGTCTGTAGGGGGCAGTGTTTCCTAGAGTGATAATAACACTTCACCTTCTAATGTCAAGGTTTGTGTTTCTTCTAGTTAGTGTTAGTGTTAGTTAGTGTTTTCAGGCCTATTGTTGTAGACACATTTGTGGGGGAGTATAGAAATAGCATAGAAATATCACAGTGCATAAGTCATACACTCCAACAAGTCAGGGTTTTAAAAAAACAAAGAATATATAATGAAAAAGAATGGATTGCATGTGCAGTTAATGTTGGACCTTTTTAATCATAAACTTGTATACAAACTCAATAAGCAATAATCAGAATAATTTGTAATATATATATATGCCTTTTCATCAATTCCCCTGTCACAGTTAAATAAACTGAATCTGCTTATCAGAGAAATGCTACAAGGAGCTTAATGTCACTAGAAGATGATTGGGAAATATACTAAATAAAAAACAACACTGCATTCGAAAATCTGCATAATAGAATCTATGATTTAAAGGCCTCCTATCATGCAAAATGCACTTTTCAATGTCTTTTACATGAATATGTGTCCCCGGTGTGTCAGGGAAGTCTGAAATGCATGATCGGTTTGGTATTTTGAGCAAAACACATCATAGACATGTTTTTTTATATTTGTATATATCTGAAACCCATAATATATGAACATTTGAAAATGGCTCAGCATTTAAATTGGGATTTTACTAATGAGATGCGCGGTGTAAAGTGACTCGACTCCTGTCGTCTGGTTTCTATAATCAGAGTCATTGTGCATACGGCACAGTGTCTGCTCATGTGGTCAGACTCTAAGTTTACTCAGTTTACTCAGCCTCAGTCAGAGCGAGACACTGAAACCTGACTCAAAGACTGAAACATTTTTTATTTGATTTGAACGTGTAAAACAATAATACAAAAAATAATAATAATGAAATGAAACATGAGAATTATGATGCTTTACAAACTTAAGCAGTATCAAATTGATAAACAAAAATATACCTAGATAATCTACCTAGAGATTATCATGCTCATAATAGAGCTCATACACCAACAGAACAACAATGTGGTGTAACAATCTATTCATAATCTTGATGCTTTTGTCTTTCGGCCAAAGTGGTGTTTTCGGTCCACCTGAAGTTCATCTCTTTTAGCTCTGTCTTTGGTCCCCACCGGCTTCTCAAGGAAATATCTGAAAAACAATTGATAAATGTTTCACTATAGTTTCCCAGCCATTCACTTTTTATTTGCCCCTTATGGTGAGCAGGTGGACAATGAGATTTAATAATAGCTTCAACTGAAAATGACACTATGTAAATGAAAAAATGCTCTGATTCTGTTTCTGATTCTGAAAACAGTAAAATGGTAAAGGGCTGGACACAAACATTTGAGTTGAAACTTACTTTCACTGAAAACGTGAATAAAAACTAGCCTGGCTAAAACCACAATTCAAATCTAATAAAATGTGAAACAACATTTTGATTTGTGAATTTTAGACAACTTTGATTTGGATACCTTTGGACACAACCAGCTATGCTAAGCTAACTATCAGCTAGCTCTAGCATCACATAGCAACCCAGTCTCACGGCATTTCGTGTTATAGTCACAAAATGTATTTAATCTATTGATTGCACCACTGATTCACCACGTCTTTTTGTCCGGTCGGGTCTTGGAATACCAGAAGCTGTGTGGTTCATAAAACCATTTTCTTACTCAATATCTTACCCTAAGCCTAACCCTATCCCTTTTATTTTTAAATTGTATAATGTCTGAGTTGTTTTGCCGTCTGCGAGGAAAAGAAATGGCTCAGAGCCTCAGAATACTGAAATCTGTATTTCTTTTAATCTGTTTTTCCTTCTAATTTGTTATTATTTGGTGCAGGCACAAAACATACTACCAATAGAAATGCATTGCTTCTGAAATCGTTCTGTGTCAGAATACTGAAATCTGTATTTTTTTTTATCTCTTTTTCCTTCTAATTTGTTATTATTTACATTGCTTTTAAAATCGTTCTGTGTGACACGGAAAAAATGGCGAAATCATGTTGGTGAACACGAATCAATAGATTAATTTCGTGACTATAACACGAAATGCCGTGAGACTGTGTTGCACATAGACAGAGAGAAACGAGAGTGCATGGTATCAATCTTCTTATACCCTCTATAAGAAAGCAAAAACATCTATGCAAAATGTTTTTGAATTCCAACTACTATTAATTATACACTCTGTGGTAAAATAATTTCACTACAACAGATAGCTCGTGCATCCTGATATAAAAAGTCTCCTGTAGAAGCAAATTCTTTCTTCGAGGGAATCACGTTGCCTCTGATTGGCCCTAATGTGGTATTTGCTGTGGCTCTTGCATCTGCAGAAGTAACAAACGTGGCCAAGTCTGTGATTATGAATGATTGAATCAGGCTATAACTCTTCAGAGGATGCTAGCCTCCTCCTCTGCAGTAATATCTGAAGGTATGGCAGTCATATGAGCCGAGCGGCTGAACGTGCAACCACTTAACATGACCTTTTTCCTTCAGCTGCATAAGTCATGGGACAGGGATGGACAGGTGATTGGAAATGGCATGTCTGTGCACGTTTGCTGCCATGTGGAAGACTTCAACTGATAACATTAGCGTAATATGTCTGTGTTACATCCTAAAGCGTGCCCTTTATAAATTAAATTATGAATGCTGTGTTGATACAATTTTGGAGAAATCTGAATCACGCTTGGTAGCCAGATGTAAAGCATGAGATTTGCATTAGTCTTATAGCTGCCTTGATTCATTTTTACATAACCATGAATTTATTGAATGGAGTTGATTATATATCCAGTTATTTTAAAATGATTGGTCGTGCTTTTTACAGTATTACGGCTTCCACAGATGAAATATTTTTATGGATTTTTTGTCAAAGCACTTCAGATATTCATTGCTATTGGGATGTTAAGAGCATTCCATGGAATATAACAAAAAGTGTATCTCGAGCCGGTTTCTCAAACTTACCTACCCTACCTTTAATCTAAATTACACCATATAAACATTGATTTTAATTTCTTACAATCTCTTGGTACTTAATTACATGTGCATTCAATCGTTCATAGTAGGCTGAGTCCATGAAAGTTCTACATTATTGCTTCCTACTAACCGAGACATGGCTATAGTAAAAAGGTAATAAAGCTACTAAAAAAAGATTTGGGATGCGTCTTTAAAAAGTTTTAAAGTGATAGTGCACATAAATTAATGTGCAATTAATGTTATACGATCAAAAGGCTACAGAAGACATGAACAGATCACAAACTCTTGTCGTGAATGTGGACTAATTGGGGTGGAAAGTACTGTAGGCTGCCTAAAAATACATACAATATGTGCAATAATTTAGGGGTCCTGAAATACTTTGGTTTTTCTGCTACCTTATAATCATCCACCTATATGTCATGTTTGTCCAGTAGACAAAAACACCTGGCTTCCTGCT